GTTTGTTGTATATTTCTATAAAAAGTTTTTTTTATTTAAATATATTTTTTATTTTTTTATATAATTTTAAAAATTTTAAATTTTATATATTGATTTAAGAATTTTCACACTGTAATACTAAGAAAATCATTATAACCTAATAGATAATCATCCAATCAAAATCATATATGCAATCATAACAATCATGAAGATATATAAATATATATATTTTTTTTTCAATCTTTTTTTAGATGTTGATCTTATAATTTTTTTTTTTAATTTTTTTTTTTAAAATAAAAAACTTTGAGCTCATTCACAATGTCACTTCTGTGAAAAAGAAGATCAGAAACATCTATTTGCCTAAAACTGTTAGCTATATCTACTAATTAAGAAGTTAAGCTATGATTTTAAAGATTTCAGAAGAAAAATGAGAAGTCAAAAGAGTAATTGTGGTATACTAGAGTTTGATTTGTTGACAAAAGTGTGGGATGTAAGTGTTGTAAACAAATATAGAATATATTTAGGATATATATTTAGCGTTTTTTTTATATTTTGAAGGATGTGTAAATTATATTGAGCATTTATTTTATATTTTGAAAGATATGTACATTAGCATTGTTAAACACTTTTTTCTATAAATATTCTATTCTAACCAAGATGAACTAAAAATATCTTTAAAGCACTACCTAAAAAATAAGGTTCAGATTTTATAGCAAATATAAGTGCTAATGAGTTTACTAACCAATTTTCACAATGTGTAATATAATTAAGTAAGTGATTTTATTTTCATTTATTGTCTTTAATAATTTTTTTAATAGCTCTTATATACTGTCTTTTTTTTATAATAATTCTTTCAATTAGCTTCTACAAAAAATAAAAAACCTATATAGTGCAGTATTGCAGAATATTCATTCAGCAATTTGGGATATATTCAATCGTAAAAGACTCCTTCCTCTAAAAAGTAATCTGCAGCTACAAACATGATCATGTGAAAACAAAGTATAGTGTGAGCAAGTGCTATTATTTACTATTTAAACAAAATGATGAAGGAGTTCTATATGTTGCTGCTATTGCAAGAAATACATTTATCACAGTCACTGCTCCTGTTCTTACTAACCATTACTATGCTTTTATACTGGCGGTATGTGATATAATATTGAACCTCAGGTTAAAAAATATTATTTGTAGCAAAAAGCATATTAGGTGTTGCATGATGCAGTATTTGGTAAGTAATTATAATAAATCGATATAAACTGATTTATAATTAGGAAGCAATTTAATCTTTATTTATTATATTAGAATAATCTTGATAATGGTGGCCCTAGCCCACAGTCGGCAAATGTGATAGTGGATAAAAAACTTGTGTTAAGGTCTCATGATGATACACATCTTTTTACCAATCTTGATCCTGTTTATGACCCCAATACTACATCTCTTTCCCAAAGTAGTTCAATAATATTTTTGCAGAAGGAACTGATTAACTTGTTTGATGTTAGTTAATATGATCAATAGTGTTACTTTTTTTTTGTATATTTGTATTTTTATTTGTAATAAATATTATATATAAAACTTTTATATATTATATTTATTATATGTATTGTATATTGTATATTAATAAAATAAAAAAAATTGATTACTTTTTAGTTTTATATTCTTTTAATTTGATATTTTTTAAAATTAATTACTGCAATATTAAATATAGTGATTTATATCATTTTAGTTATACAGTATATTGATTTATATTGATTTACAGTATATTTATTATTATAATCAATTTCTATCGATTTCTATTATTTCAGGCTATATATCAATTTTCTTTGTTTTGGATATATATTGATTTTTATTTATTTTGCTATGTATCAATTACTATCCTTTTTGGTTATATATTGATTTGTATTGTAATCATTATAAATTAGCAGAGAAGATTACAATCTGATATATATTCTCATAATTAGTAATCATTATCTAGCAGTCTATTTTTTTTGCTGATAATAGTGGAGTTCTTAAATAGGCAATAACTAAACTTATACATATAGCCAATTATATTCTCATTAATATAACAAAGTTAGAAGTAATCTATTGTTATAGAGTTGTAGCCTTCTTAGTAAAATACAACCAAGTAATAAGGTTATTTGATATAGTGATTGACTATTGCAAATATATACAAGGTGAAGGTGTAGTTGTTCACTTAACTACACAGCAGAAGGCAAATGGTTTGAGATAGTAACAGTATATAAGATAGCTTTATTTAATACAAGAATGATGATAAGCCTTGTCTGTAAAAATTACCCTAAAGGAGGAATATCACACTTTACAAGATAAGAAGGGTTAAAGGATATCAAAGCTTAAGTGAAGTATAGAAACTTAAAAATTGGCAAAAAGAGAAAATACACCCTTTATATATCTTTTTATCCACAAGGAGGATATACAATGCACAGTAAATGAGTAATACTTGGCAGGTGAAGAAGGAGAACTTGTGTAGAAAAAGTAGAGGATTATGTTAAATGAAGAAGATGATTGTGCTAGGTAAAGAAAAGGAAATATAAATATTACTCATCATGTTTATATTTATTTATATCTCATGTAGAGAAATTAGAGGACTTTGCTACACAATATTTTGTGTTTAAAACATTTAGGACTTGTGCAGAGGAATTAGATGTTTGTGTGTAGAAAAGAGGTATTTGTATAGAAGAAGAAGATATTCATGTGAAGGAAGAAGGTAAACTTGTATTACTTTCTTGTATAACATCTTTGTATAATCTAAAGTATCTTTATGTATAACCTTGTATCACCTGAGGTCATGTAAGGTCATGTGACTGTACTATACTTCCAATAGCCAATTAGAATATTTCTAAAATATACTATCTAAATATATAATAACTAATATATAATAACAAATACTATTTTTACTATATATAAAAATACAAATATCAAATATTTATAACTAAAAATAACTAAGTAAAATTCATACTAAAATCTACTTTGTAATACTATGTAATAGCCCTGATATCTGAACAAAAGTTTAATAAAATATATCAGATCTCTAAGTAGTCACCTTAATATTAAAAAAAATAAATAAATAAATTATAAACAGATGGAATATGACAACTTAGTAAAGTGGTTAGATTGTTACTTCCAAGTAGTATATCCAGAGTTCAATTCCTACCAATAGCAAAAAATTGAATTCTTTTATATAATAATAACTCTCTTGTATATTGAGAAAAAGATCCTATTACATTTGGTTATATCTTATTAGAAAAAATATCTATTATACTATTAGGCTAATCTAAGTAAAATTTAGATATTTATATAATATATAAGTTGCATAAAAGAGATACAAAGTTAGTAAAGTAGTATAAACCTATAATAAGTTCTTGAGATTATATTAATCTGATAAATAGTATTAAGAAAGCCTATTTGGCAAGATTTGAGTAGAGATGTATTATAAACTTTTGATAGTGACTACTAGAATAGGCTTCATACAAGGCTGGTAAATTGGATGAGACAATAATATCAACAAGTTACTTCACCAACTAGACCATCAAATTGACTGAAGAAAAAGACTTATATTCTTTCCAGACTATCTAAATTAGTAGTTAGAGGAAACTAGCTAGAGGATACTGAAAAAGAAGATACTGGGTTGTTTTAAAGGAAGAGTATTAAAATTTAGATAAACTTTGCAAGAACTAAAAAGCTCAACAGTGTAATCTGCTCATAAAGGCTTAGAATCTATTTAGCAAACTTATTTGCAAAAAGAAATTAATAGTGTGACTTACCTGTAAAAATATAGAATATATATGCTACCGAAATAGGTTTTCAAAAAAAACTCTATTTCATTTCTATTAAAACAATTTAAAATTTTTTATATGTAAAAACAAATCTAATTTAAATAGTTATATTTTTTATAATTGTTTTCTTCAAAAAAAGTATTAAAAAATTTTATTTTTAAATAAAATAAATCAAAAATAATTCTGTCTTCAAATTTTAATTTTATACTTCAAAAACTAAAATAATTTCGTCAACATATATAATATAGAACCTAATACCTGTTTAAAAAAAATTAGGTAATATAATAATAGTAAGTATCAAACTGCTCTAATAGGCAATGTACTTGAGGATAAATTGATTAACTATACTGATAGTCTTATAGTTGAATACAATAATCTCAAAACTTGGACTAACTAATATATCATATATTCTGGATAAGGTTAGATAGATTAATATAAAAAACTTGGATTAGAAGATTTAAATAAAGGATTCACAGATGGATATCAGATACAATACATAGTAGATAACTATAGCTAGTAATAGATATAGCAGAATCTTTAAATAGATAATAACTAAAGTTATATATATGGCCAAATATACTCTTATCAGAATGTACTTGTCTAATACCATATGATAAAAACACCTTATAATCCTACAATCTAATAAAAGTAATAAGCCAAAAAGGCTAACTTTGACTACAAAAAAAAAATTGTAAGCAGACTACTTAAAATAAATACTAAAAATATATATGTGACTAGTATATACTCTCTAATATAAAAAGGTTTTTTGAGGCTAATAGCTATAAAGAAGGCATCCATAAATAATATTATACAAGAGAGGGGAGGGGTTTTACAAAAATAACATTTTTTTTATGTTTTTTGCTAAGTTAGAGGAGGTCAAAGAAAATAATAATTTTTTTATAAAAATATCAATATATCATGATTCAGTGGTCTAAATTGAGTAAATTTGGTACTATTGGATTCGTCTCAGTGAGAGAAATCTAATGGTACCAAAATCATTTAATTTGGATTACTAGATCAAAAGATATTGACAAAAAACTATTGGCTATATTATTTTATATAAAATTACTATATAATTAATAGTTTTTTGTCTATATCTTTTGATTCAGTGATCCAAATTGAATAATTTTGGTACCATTAGATTCCTCTCATTGAGATGAATCTAATGGTACCAAATTTATTTAATTTGGATTACTGAGTCACAAGATAATCAAGGTTTTGTAAAAATTTATATATAAAATATATAGATTTTTAAAATTTTTTTATATAGTCTAGGGCAGTGTTGTCAATGAACATGGATATGGACATGGACAGTCCATGGACATGGACGTTCATGTCCATGGACATATAAAAAATATGGACATGTCCATGTCCAAATTATGGACATGGACATTGGACATTGTTTATGGACTGTCCATGGACTGTCCATGTCCAATAATTTGCTTGGACATATGTCCATGTATAATACTGGTCTGGGGGGTCAAGAGTTTCTATGTGGGAATACATAATGTTATTTATGGATGCCTCCAAACCACCACTCAATAATACTTGAATAAAAATCTTAACCTCAAGAGGCTGGTTAAAAAATAAATAAATAAAAATAAAAAAAATAAAAATAAATTAATCAATATTAGATTGTATTGTCGCCCTAAAGCATTATTTTGAGACAAAAATTTTAAAATGAGTTAATAATTAATTTTGCCAAAGATTTTTTTTAAACTTTACTATTAAATAAATATTAAAGTTTAAAAAAATCTTCAGCAAAATTAATTATTAACTCATTTTGAAATTTTGTTTCAAAATAACACTCCAGTGCATTATTTCGTGATGATACAGTAAAAATTTCAGGATATATATATTTCATTATACCAAACAACTGTTATTAATTAAAATTTTTACTTTAGGCCATACAAACTTAATAAATTGGTTCTCATAATCTGGCCGGATAAAAATTTTTGACTATATTTACTATCCAGGTGAAGTTTTTTCAGAAGTCTATAAAAAGTTCTATATGCATTTTTTTTTTTTTTTAATTCGACTGCCTTGCCTCATGCTTTATTAGAAGTATTAGAAGATCGGTATTAACAGAAAATACAATTTTCTATACTATAATTCTATTGCACAAAGAGATTTACTTGACACTAAGGCCCAGGTGTGACTTGCTTAGCAGCATTATGCTTCACATTGGATCCTCAACTATCTGAAGATTTGATCCCAATGATCACTAGCTGGAGCAGCTGCATGCTTTACTAAGAAGCCCAA